ATAAAACTTCGTCTATACTCTAATAAAAAGTTTCCCAGACCAAAGAGGTCACCTTAATACCAAAAAAAAAAAAAAAACTAAGTTCTAAGTAAGATTCTTTAATTTTGTACAAATCTTTAAATATCTTCAATAACACTATAAGAAAAAGTACTTGGAGTTTGCTGCATTTATCCCTGGCATTGAGGTTTGATGTACGCCAACATTCTATGAGCATTTGAGTTTGAAGTAATTTCATTAATTTGATAGTCCGAAATCTGTAATCTTTGGTTGTAATGAATTAAGATGTTTCCCGGATGCTAAATTATTAAAATATAAAATAATCAAATTATGCATTTATAAATTAATAAATACTATATATAAAATATACATAATATATTTACTAGATCTCTATGAATAATGTAAGAATAAAAGCTATTTCCTAAGGGGACCTGGATGTAGGTGAGATTTTCCGGGTCACGTGTACTCTGATCCTCCGATCTACATCGTATACATGTACAGTTACACAGTTTTTTTATATATTTATCTTTTTTTTACTTCAGTTTAATTTTGTAGTCTTACCTTCGCTGTCACGTTTTCAAGTCTCTTTTCAGTATTTCATGTTTGTTAATTCTCTTTTTATTGTTTAAGCTTTTTTCATTATTTTTAGTTCGTCGTTACTACTGGTGTTGTATACTGATGCCTTTTTTATCTTTTAGATATTTTTAGTTTGTCACTTCTTTTCGTCATTGCTAGTGCATTCTGTTCATTATTTGCTGGTTTCTTTGTACTTCTTTTCGTTTATTTACTGATATCTTTTTTCGTCTTTTGCAGGTGTTTTAGATTCGTCGTTTACTAGTGCTGTGATTTAGAGAAAGTTAGTGTTAGTTGATACGCAGATTTAAGAGTTAGAGATTAGAATAAAGGTCAGGCTAAGGTTAATAGTATAGTTAATGACGAGTAAGATGAATAGTAGTATAGATAAGAGCTAGTATTAGCAATAAGGTTAGAGTTAGTAGTATAGTTAGTATATAATATTAAATTTAGCAGTATAGTTAAGAGTTAGAGTTAGTGATAAAGTTTAAGTTTTGAAATGTTTAATGTATAATAGCATTCTTATACAACGAACTTATTGTATAAATAAAAAATGAATTAAATAAATTAAAATAAAAAATATATAGTATTAAGTTATAAAAACTATAGAAAATGTAATTTAAATAAAAACACATACAAACGAATAATTCAAAGAAAAGGAAAATTAAAATTGTAAATTGGTCATCGTAAATAAATATTATAAGGTTAATACTTATATATAATTTTCACTAAAATTAAATTTATCATGGTATATAATATCTACTACCCTTATAATGCTTTGTGAAAGATGCAACAGAAAATTACTCCAGGGTTAATAAAAAATTTTTTATTAAAAGTATAAAAAAAAAACTAAAATATAAAAAAAAATTTCATGCTACATCCTATATTGTATTACGTCCCAATTCTAAATATTTCACTATATCCCAATCTAACTATTGATCTATGGATCGATAATTAGATTGGGATATAGTAAAATATTTAGAATTAGGACATAATATGAATAAAAAATTTTTTATTAACCCTGGAGTAGTTTTCTGTTGTATCTTTTACGAAGCATCATGAAGGTAGCTAAGGTGAAATTGTTTTTGGTAAGATTTGTGGAAGTGGGATTAAGATTTGGGTTAGTAGAGAAGAATTTAGATATTATATGCTATGATTTTGTGTTTTTTATTTTAATTTATTTATTTATTTAAATAATAAGCTTGTTGTATAAGAATGCTATTATACATTAAATATTTCAGAACTTAAACTTTATCGCTAACCCTAACTCTTAACTATACTGCTAAATTACTTATTATATACTAACTATACCACTAACTCTAACCTTATTGCTAATACTAACCCTTATCTATACTACTATTCATTGTTAACTATACTGTTAACCCTAGCCTGACCTTTATTCTAATCCCTAGCCTTTAAATCTGTATATCAACTAACACTAAACTCTCTCTAAATTACAGTACTACAATTCAAGTACTAATAAACAACGAACCTAAAACACTTACAAAAGATGAAAAAGACATTAGTAAAAGAATGAAAAGAAGCACAAAGGAGCAGCAAATAACAAACAAAATGCACTAGCAAGCAACAACGAAAAGAAGCAATGAACAGAAAACATCTGAAAAGACAAAAAAAGCATCAGCATATGAACAAAAGAAAAAAACACCAGTAGAAGACAACAAACTAAAAGAGTATCAATGAACATGAAATACCGAAAAGAGACTTGGAAACGCAACGGTGAAGGGTAAGACTACAAAATTAAACTGAAGTAAAAAAAATAAATATATAAAAAAACTGTGTAACTGTACATGTATACGATGCAGATCGGAGGATCGGACCCAGAAAATCTCACCTACATCCTGGATCTGTCCTATTTTCTTAGCAATGCATAGTTTATTTGTCTGTTGTAAGTTTGTAAAACTTGCATTAGATAATCTTGTAAAGCTTCTTGATTAGCATATTGTAAAACCATATCATAATATTCATTGCTATCTATATATTCGATTTGATATGATAAATATATTTTTTTGTTTAACATATTATTTAGTTGATATCTTCAAAAATTATAAATTACTTGTTTATCTTTCATTCTCCAAAAAAAGGAATAACGTTTTGACAGCACGAAACTCTTCACAATAGCTTAAGCTAATTATATAAATTTATTATTCTATTGTAAAGTTTTAACACACAAATAATATCTCATTAATAAAATATTTAAGAATTCTTTCATCATTGTTTGTATCAACTTTAAGACAACTGTTAATTCACTGTCTCTCTACTCATATTTAAGAACCTTTTCAAAACCTCTGATACTAATTACAATAGGTCTGTAAATTTATTATAATTGATATAATTAATATGCTCTTTGAAAATAGTTTTTTCAAATCATTCTTCTAATATGTTTATCATACCTTTTTTTTTGTATATACTAATTTTGGTTGAAAAACAATATGAAAATAACGATTCATTTTTTGTCTTAAAGGAGGTCATATTAATAGCAAGATAAGAATTTAGTTATCATGTGTGAACATATTATTTATATAGTCTACTGAATTATCTATCTATAGTTGGATCAGTAATATCAGACTTTTTAGTAATTGGTGGCTAGTCAAGATCAACTAAACTAATAGGAATTTTTTTATTTACTCTCTGTGTCTTATACTATAAACTGCTTCAGCTCTAATTAGTGATTCGTCAAGTTTAACTAAAGACCTATACACTTTGCACAATTACCAATTATATACAAAAGTTAGCAAAAATAAATATGTACTTTGTATTTATAATAGACTACTGTAAATCAACCAGGTCTCTTAAATTCCACCAATTCTATAATAGACCTGGTCTAATATATAGCCATACCTGAGTATGTGATTTACGTTAAATTTTATTAGTATAAATAGTGCGTCAACTAACTGACTCACCCTGCATATCATGTAATGATCATTTTGGGTGCGTCAAAACAAACAAAAAAAATCAAATCGGTGGATATGGGATCATGGGCATGTTAATAATAAACTTTTGAATTAATTCAAATATAAATAGTCTTAAAGATACATAGTCTAGGGATCCCACATGATCTCAGAAGCTTTATAAGGTAGTTGTTTACCAAATCAGTAAACAAACATGTTTGGTGTAAATTTAGCTCTATAGACTAGTATAGAATAGATATAGACTTAAATGGAAGTACCAAGAATTTTCTAAATATACAAAAAAGGGTGTGGTTTGTATTGTCCAAATTTGGTAATATCTGAGACTGCATTATGAAATCAAAAACTTTTTTTGTATGAAATAAAACAACCAATTACCTTACTTATGTGTGGTCATATATTATTGAGATTGTATCGAAAGTTCTATTAAAATGTCTGAAACAAAATTGTGAAAAGGAGATAGAATCTGTAGTTGATAGCATGCCTGGAAGTCAAGATCTTGATTTAATGCTATATCACTTATAATATTTAAAAGCCCCATAATTATACAAAAAAGTGATATATCAAAAAAGTGTACTGGAAATTACATATTATTTTCTAATCAACTATTTAACAAAAAAACAAAACAGATAAAAAAAGAATCGCTTACAATAAAAAAGCTTATAAAAGAATTATTTACTGAGCCTAGTACTCCACAAGATCCTGTAACTAGAAAAGAAAATACAAATAATTTTGTTGATTTGTATAATAATATAATCTATGCAGAAACTTAAAATAAAATTATAAATCAGGATATTGTAACCAGCTATTATCTTTTCGGTAAAGCACTTATGAATATTATAAAGCAAATAATCCAAAACATATAGCCCAAGTATTAGTTAATAAAAAAATTAGTAAACAACTTTCTAGTACAATTAGTGATACTTTATTATAAAAAAAAAAGAAAGAGTACAAAAAATTTATAATTTATTTAGCAAAATTGGTAAAAATAAAATCTAACATATTAAAACAATTTTAGCTTTATTAATTTCAAAATTAAGTCAAAATGAAATTAATACTATATTAGCTTATTTTTCTCAAAAATAAATATTTCAAGTTAATAGTATATTATATTCAAATTACAATATTATATATCTATATTATACTTTGTATAACTATATTATATATTATTTATAAAGTTAGTAATTGTTATTAAAATAGTATTTGTTAGTATTTCAAATTGATAGTACATGACCTATAGGTCACAATATCATGTGATTACTATGTCTGGACATGCGTATCCAGTTTTTTAAATTAATAAAATACAAGTATAATTTATTTGTAATTGATTTTTTTGAAATAAATTAACACACTAAAATTGAATCACATATTCATAATGTATAAAGTTATTAAATTCAAATAGGTCTAAATTTCTAAATAGTATATAAATCATATAATCTCTAAAAACACATTATAATAAGTCATAAAATGGTTGGCATAAACACTTGTAGAACTAATTGTACTGATACTGAATGGATTGAATGTTGCAATATGCCACAAATTCACAATAATGAAACTCCCAGTGAGTAGATAAAAAAGATTTGAAAACATCTTATGTATTTTAGAAAGAACAATCTATTACCTATTGAAAATAAAAAATACCTTAAAGCTAGAAGATTAATATAATTGCCAAATAGTGGTTCATATGCTCCTGAAATCAGAATAGTAATATGTTTCTCTTGTGATCAGTTAGTATATACTGGACAAAAAAAGAAGAATATAATCATATAGAAATGGAGAGACATTGGAAATTTTTATATACCGGTAATAGATACTGTAGTATAAGTTATAATGAGTACTTACTAAAAGTCAAGAAAAAAAATATTTTAGGGTATAATTATGATAATGAGTATACATTACACAGATATGAATTATAGATGCAGAATGCTATCAAAAAGGCAAAACATGCCAGAGAAATTGGTAAGAAAATTTGAACATGTATATTAATACAACGTAAATTCATTGAATATTATTATCATCCCAATTTGCTCAACATTACAAATTATTATGGGTGGTTTGGAAAGAGATGCATCAAGTTAACAATATATAATATATATATTTATTTGATTTAATCTATTTATTTGATTTATTATTTATATAGCTTATTGATATATAAAGTCAGTAACTATTATCAAAATATAATTGAAATTGAAAAGAAGAATAAAATATTCACTTATTATTGTAGAGCAATGATAGCATGTAGTGCTGAATCTCTGATTCTCTTTCAGGTTTATAAACAATCAGCTGATATGAGTAATATTCATAGAATGCTTCAAGTTGATATTCTTAATATCTCCACCTTTTTGCAATTTTTGTTCGAAGCCACATATAGTAAGTTAACAGATTTTTTAAAAATATTAGTTTTCTATATATTTTTTTCGAGCTTGCGAGAAAAAGAAGGTCCAAATATGCTTGCATATATACCAAATAATTAGTATTATTATTATAACAAAAACAACAAGCTTAACAATAAAAGAAATCTGATACTTATAATTAACCAAAGCTTCACCAGTATTTAATATCATGACAGGTAGACAGAAGACCTTTGTATAGTCTATAATATTTGGGTTGATATCCAGCTCTTGTCCCTGTAATTAGATAGCTCTTAAACAGTTAACGTTAAACAGAAATTTGATCATTAAAATAATAAAGACTAATAATATGATAATTAAATAATAATTAATATAATAAATATAATAATGCAATTGTCCAGAGCATAGTGAAGAACTTACATTCTATGCTTTTTGATCAAAATGTCCAGATGATCCACACATGATATATTTATTAAATTATTATTGGGTAAAACTCTAATACTAGACTTACTTTAATCAAAATGTCTAAATGCTCTTCATATGATATATTTGTTAAACTAAACTAAAATTTTTAAAAGCAATTTTGTATAATTTGCTTCAAATATTAGCAGCCTCTATTAACCTAGTAAATAAAGGATGATTAACAAAAGCTACTCAAAAAGCTAATTATTTATTTATTGCATTAATTAAAAACATTAAAGAATTTATATATCCAAACAAAAAGCTAATGCAAAATAATGCTAGAAAAAAGAGACTAGCTTCTATAACACCTGGAGAACAGCTAAGCTACTGAAATAATAAATTAACAAAAATGCAAGGCATCAAAATAATACTGTTAAAAAAATGGATGACTGCAATATTTATTAATATTCTTTGCGATATAATTTCTCCATTTAAATTTACTTTCTACTCTATTTGTAAAGAGAGTTTTTCTATGATTTTATCAGTACATGTAATCAAGAGAAATTATTACTAAAAAATTTTCAAATTAAAATGATATGGACACTGGCATGTAAAAATTAATAAACTGAAATTAAGTACATTAATATTATAAAATTGTGCTAAAAATTGGGTTTACTACAAAATTCTAAATAACATATTCCCGAAAGGACCTAATACTGACAACATTAGGTATAATGCTAGCCAATTTAGTTGACATTATATTTTTTCAGGAAAATGGCTTTCAGGATTTTGTAATAGAATGCTTAAAATTAGCACACAAATACTATTATTCATATATATTTGCTATAAATATTTTATTATTAAGCATCTATTCAGTCCTATAAAAAATCACAGTTTTGCTAGTCATAACTAATATTGAAATATTTTTAACTGGTTAATATCCTGACTACTAGTCAATTATTTCATATTGTGCCTTGCAAGATATGACTTCTACATATTCTAAATAAATATACAGTCAGAC